CAGGGCGACAAGATCCAAGAAGCTCTTGGAGAGGTACGCAGCTGGGGGATTCCGAAAGATTTTGTTCACGGACGAGAAAATCTTCACCATAGAAGAAAAATTCAACCGACAAAATGACAAAGTGTATGCAAGGAGTTCACAGGAAGCTTCGGAGATCATTCCGAGAGTTGAGAGAGGCCACCACCCTGCGTCAGTCATGGTTTGGTGGGGGGTGTCCTACGAAGGGGTCACTCAGCTCCATTTCTGTAAACAGGGCGTGAAAACAAAAGCGGCAAACTATCAGAGCGACATACTGGATCCTATCGTCAAGCCTTTAAGTGGTACATTGTTTGCCAACCAACACTGGGTCTACCAGCAGGATTCCGCCCCCGCTCACAAGGCTAAGAGTACGCAGCGCTGGCTGGAAAGCAATGTGCCAGAGTTCATTGCTGCGGAAGATTGGCCCTCAGGGAGTCCGGACCTCAATCCTTTAGACTACAAGTTGTGGGACCTGCTAGAGCAGTTGGCCTGCTCCAAAGCCCACCGTAATATCGAGTCCCTGAAAGCGGATTTGATCCGATCAGCGGCAGCTATTCCTTTGGAAGCTGTGCGTGCAGTGATAGATGAGTGGCCCGCGAGATTGAAGCAGTGTGTGAAGGCCAAGGGGGGACATTTTGAATAAAACTGTTTGATTATGAATTCTAAAAATGTTGTCGAATAAATAATATCTTTCATATAAATATATCTTATCTTGTTTCATTTTTATCATGAGATTATCATGGGACAGAACTTATGGCACGACTATATTTTATTAGTTTGTGTGTTTTTGACTTTTGAATACTCAGTTTACTTGTTGATTTAATTGTTGTGTTGATTGTTCTTGTGTGTCCTAAATATGGCTGTTTGGAGACCTTGGGAAAATGCTCCAAGCCACGAGGAGATGGTTGATGAACCTGTGCAGGCAGAATTCTTTCATAAAGATTTAGAGGAACAGACCCAAAGAGTAATCCTAAATATGTATGATTGTCTGAAAAACGAAAATCCAGATTCCTCGCAAAATCAAATTTTAAACAGAATTTGTATCCTGACAAAAATCAGTCGGTCTACCATTTATCGGGTTATAAAAAGGGAAAATGTAGTCAACCATTCCTTCCACAGAAAGCGCATAGGGCAAAAATTAAAAAGAATAGACGTGGGTTTTCAGGAAGATATTCGTCGTATAATATACGGATTTTATAAAGAAAATTTGGTGCCCACGTTGGAAATGATACGGGATAAATTAAAAGATTATCCTGAAGATTTTTATAATTACAAATGCTTAGACTCACTGCACTGTATTGTAAAACTGTGTGGTTTTCAATACAAAAAATTAGATAAAAGAATGGTGATTATGGAGTCGTCTCGAATCGTTGAATGGTTGAATTGCGCCAAGAATTTTTGCACAAAGTTAAAATCTATAGAGAGCAGAAAAGAAATCTGATTTACCTGGATGAAACGTGGTATGATACCCATGATGTTGTGCAGTACGGCTGGGTTGACGACAGCAACAAGTGCATTTTAAATGCACCATGCAACCGTGGAAAACGAATCATTATTCTCCATGCTGGCAATGAAAATGGATTTATACCTAATGCCTTGCTGTTATCTGCCAAAAATATCAAAGAATCATGTGCCGACTATCATGAGGACATGACCTCCGACTTATTTGAAAAGTGGATAGAGCAGCAGTTAATACCAAACATTTCCCCAAATTCAGTGATTATTATGGACAATGCGCCATACCATTCCCGACAGAAAAACAAAATTCCGAATACAGGCACAAAAAAACAAGACATTATTGATTTTATGGAGGATAAGGGAATGGAAATACCACAAAAATCAACCAAAGCCATATTATTGGATCTTATTAAAAGACAAAAATTTGAAAAAGAGTATGTTGTTGACAATCTGCTTCAGCAAAATGGCCATGAAGTATTACGTCTACCTCCCTATTACTGCATTTTTAACCCGATTGAGTTGGTCTGGGCTGCTTTAAAAAAAAAGTAAGAAAACATAATCAGACCCCTCAATTAAGTGAATCGCTATTGGCCACAATAAGAGATGCAGTATCTCATGTTGCTGCCACAGACCTATGGAAGCAGTGTTCTAGGCATATTATTGAAAAAGAAAATGAATATTGTGTTTTGCCTCCTGTAAATCCCGTTGTAATTCCTCTACAAGATGACTCTAGCGACAGCTCCGAAGGCGAGGATGATATATAAATACCTATAATGTAAGTCTTTATATACCTTTTTATATACCTACCTGCTATGTAAATATTTGCCTATGTCAAACGTTGGAATTCTATAATTTTTCCATTTCTTAACTTTCAGTCAACATAAATTAAACTCCCAATATAAGTATTTTTTATCCCAAATCAAAAAAATAAGAAGATAGTAAAATCCATTTATTGTGATATAAAAACATTATTATTATCGTTCTAAATAAATGACCGCACGCCTATGATACGTCATGAAATTACAAAGGACGCGCCGACCAAAGGTTTTTACGCTATTTCAAGTGACTTCAGATAAAGTATACTTGTATTTACCTAAAATAGAAAACGAATATTTTACTCCATCTAGCCTATAGCATAAGTATTTGCTGATTCATATGCAGCACGGATAATCTTGAAGCTGAAGCTGTGCCATTTTTCTGCACCGAGATACATGATAAAAGTGCATGATTTGAATAAAACCTACGCGATGGTTGCATCGGCGACATACTTACGTGGCATAACGACGAGCTGATATTCGAATATGTACGTCGGCCACGATTTCGGATACTCCTCGCCGTCGGCCGCCCTGAATAACTTTCCTTAAATCAGAATCCGTGCAACGTTTGATGTTTATTGGACGTGTTCGACGCTGAACGTTGAGCGTTCATTCTTAAACATGGACAGCGATACTTCATTTTCATTTGTTGGATTTAACTCCAATAATACCAACTTACTTAATCGTGATAAGACTCTCATTTTATCGATTTCAACCAATGTAAGAAACATTTTTGTTGGTTGCTTGTTCAACTACATACTTTATTAGCGCATGTTTCTCTGTAGGAACTACATTAAAAAATTGCGTCAATTAGCTTGACTATATACTTTCCTTACATCTGTATCATCTACTATCAGAACTACTTATATGTTAATACATTCACGATACACTCATTATACAGGGTGTAAACGTTATGATAGTCATTATTTATGTGAGTGATAGAGAGGGTTAAAATGAGCAAAAAGTTTCATATAACATGGGGGTCAAAACGGCATTTTTTTAGAGAAAAGCGACTTTAAGATGGAGTTTGTTACTTTAGGTCCTCGAAGTTGTCCATTTATTATTTCAGCCGCATTAAATTTTTTTTCGCGAAGTTGTGCTTCAGTTGTTATTGGACCAGCCCCACAAACCATCCCTTTAAGATCTCACCAATACCAGAAATCCATAGGATTGACATCAGGAGACCTTGCTGGCCATTTTCGAGGATCAGGAGCATTTCGACCGATCCACCGATTTGGATAATGTTCATTCAAATACTGAATGACGCCTCTAAAAATGTGTGGTGGTGCCCCCGACAAAACGATAAAGTAATTTATCTATGCAAAATGATAAGTAACCACTGTTACCGTTTGCGATCGATTGCCGGTTCGATAAGAGCGATGAAAACCGACGCGCTGTTGTCATGTGTGTTTTAAATATTTAATCTAATGAAGCTTACTTTACTGACTACAAATTTTGGCTTAACTTAGAAAAACTTAATGCCATTTATTTGTTAATTACCCAATTTAAAAACGTTTTAGATTAGATTAGATTATAAAAATTAGTAAGATTGTGGTCGATATAAGACACTTAAAGTTGTAAATTATAAAGCCATTTAGACAAAATTCTATTGACTTTTGGACGATGTGTTATATGAACTTTTTGACTTGTTTTGACTCCCCTATTACCCATTTCAATAATGATTACCATAACGCTTACACCCTGTATATTCCTCTTATTTTATTCTGCACATTCCTGCGTTTCTTCTTTTTTCATCGATCGATGTTGATTCTTGGTCCCAACATTCTCCCATTATAAACTTAGTACCTTGGTATCTGCTGTCTCGTTTCGTTTTTTAGTGTAACTCCAATTTTGATAAATCAATTCGCTTCACATTCAGGGCTTCAAAGTGCTACACTGTAAAGAAGAGTATAGAAAGTGGATAATTCTAATGACAGTCGAAGCCAAAGCTAAGAACGAAAAAAAAGACTGTATCCACTAGAGACTGTGATCCTCTTTTTCGCTCGCGGGCATGCTTTTATATGATCCCGCTATTTGTAGAGCATTCATGTTTTATGTATGTGGAAAGTGAAGAAGCCGAATTCAGCGTCGCGTGTTGGGCGTTCACGGAAGTTTTTCCTTCCCTTATTGAACCTGCAGCCAAACGGAGGCTTTTGTGAGTCGTCGTTTGATAAATGACCGTTGATGTCCGACAGACACGAAGAAAAACTCAGTCATGTTTTCGTCGTGTCGCTATCGCGGAACTTTCAATCATCAATGATAAGTATGTCAAGGTTTACCGAAAATCCTACCCGGTGAAACTGAAACAAAGTCATATTGGATCAGTTGAATTAAAAAAGGTAATAGTGTGGGTTTTACTTGGCTCTTTAAACTGTAGTAGATAGAAGCACCAAGTATGTTTACTTACAAGACTTTTTGTAAATGTTCGTCTTAGACATAAAAAGTTACGGCACTAAAAGTAAATGATTCGTACTAGTTAAAACGAGCTTGAGGCAGACTATAAACATATAAAAAATTTGAGATATTTCAAATTTCATATCGAATAAAATGATTCAAGCACGAGTAATTTTCGGATCCCCAAAATGACTTTTTGCCATCACTTCAAAAGTAGTGGTGAACTAAAATGAACCAAAAAAAAAAGCAAAAAATGGACTATCGATTGATTTTTATTTTTTAATAACAAAGCATCTGTTTAAAGATAGCAATTACGTTCTTCTTCTCATTACCATGTACAAATCCAGCAAAAGTCGTCACTGCTTCCACATCTGGGGTCTTCTGAAGATCTACCAACAAAATCTCTAAAAAGCTGCCGGACATGCTTGCAATGTTTCACATTTAGATTCCCGCTCATCTAGAACTGATTTGTAAGATCTTTTTGACTCCTATGGTATTTAGAATGTGTGAATGTAGATCTTTTTTTAGTCAACTGATCTGTGAAAGATTGTATGGTATTCGATATTTGGCGTCTGTCTCCGCGACTCAATAATAATACAAAGGAAAATTACTGATATCCAAAAGAAAAGCAGAAAAGTTCAATACGTTACTTACGACGTTGTATATTATATCAGGGTGAGGCAGTAAAGCGAATAGCGAATGCTTACTCAGACTCAAAGGAAGGAGCGGGCAATAACAATTCATCATTTTTAGCGTAGTTGGCAGATGTACTGCCAGCCAGCCAGCATCCTGCCGGAGGAATACCATTCGACATAAATAAACCTCCAGTTTGACGTTTACTACCGGGACACCAACCATCACCTTCATTGATTTTTACTCCGAACAGCCACTACGGATATACATAAAAATCTGGAGGAGCTTCGAGGACGTTATTGTGCTGCAGGAACCGTAAAATGTGGAGAGATTTGAAATTACGCATAGAAGTAGCCAATGGATTCTAATACTTTTAGAGATTGGGGAACTCGTAGTGGAATAATAAAAAAAAAACTTCCAAACTCCGATTTTGTATAAAGATGGACATATCAGCTGAGTGTATGTCCCTTGACTCAAGTAACAATATTACTATTAAACGTCAATCAATAATTTTAGGGGCAATTATGCCCATGTTCATAGCCAACCCTTGAACGACCCTCAAATTGATATTCAACATTTTTGTATTTCATGGTAGTCTCTGAAAGTTGCCATTACAGGATTGGAACGTTTTCCGCTATCAAAATTTTCAGTAATATAAAATTTTTAAAAAATTTGCAACTTTCATGGACTGTCTGTTTTAAAAAATTTTGGAACTTATGGATTTCGAAAATTTTCAGGATTTTTGAAATTCAAAGCATTCTCAAAATTCACATTATTTTCAAAATGTTCGTTATTTTCAAAATTTTCATTGCTTCTTTCCAAAGTTTCTAACATTTTCCACAATTTTAAAAACTGAAAACTGCAAATCTTTTGAATTCATGAACATTTTGAAAACCTGCGGTGAGAACCATCACATTATTGACCTTTGATCTAAATCAGGGCTGTCCAACTTAATGTGGTAATATTCTGCTGTTTTCCTTGTAGCTTCAAATGCAATTCGTTAAGGTGAGATGTCATGTTTGTTAAAAATGCAAGGTCTGCTAAAAATTGTGCATCTGCCATTTGATTTTCCGGTTCCGTAGTGTCGGACTTCACTTCATTTTTAAGGAACATAGGAATTTCCTTGCGTAGAGCGAAAAATCGTTGCAAACACTTTCCGGCGCTTAACCAACGAACATCGGTGTGAAGTAACAAGTCCCCATATGTAGCATCCACTTCGGTCAAAAAATCACGAAACTTTCTGTGAGTCAAAGCACGATTGCCCCCTCTAACAATATTAGTTATTTTAACAGCCACTTTCATGACATTTATTTGACGTAAAGATGTTCCACATAAGCTCTCCTGGTGAACAATACAATGTATCATAAGACAGTTGATGCTGTTTTGTTCCAATAGTCCTGCAAATCCAATTTCAGTCCCCCGTAGTCTGACACCAACTTATTCACAGCTTCAAAAATATCTGTACCCATGGTTGTACCATGGAGAGAAATAAGGTCAAGCATCTCCTCTGCTACACTGAAGTCGTCTTGAATAGTTCGGCTAAAAATTACAAGCTGGCTAATGTCAGACAGATCAGTGCTTTCATCCAGGCATAGCGAAAAATATTTACATTTTTCAACCACGTCACGCAATTTTTTGGATACATGTTCATTGATATTGCACACTTTTTGATAAGCACTCCATCACTAAAAGGTTTTTTTGATTCTAAATAATTCTACGGAGTTAGAAACAGTCCACTGTTGATCAACCCTGAATCAGAACTCAGCCCACAAGGTACGACTATAAACGTGGACCTTAAACCGACAAAGAGTCTTCCGGAATGTTCCTTTGCGGATGATGTGGCACTATCTTTGTTGACAATCGACAGAAAAACATCGAGGTCTATAACGCAGCTTTATTAGACAACACTATGTAGATCAGTAAAGAAAAATAAATGATAGTTTAAAAAAAACTAAAAAAACACGCTTCTAGAGACACTAAAATTACGGTCTATAGATCAATTTTTCTTCTACCAGAAACGTGAACATTCACAAAGGCATTAGAAAGTCGTATCCAGAAACGTAGAAATGGGGATACTTTTGGAGGATGAACCATCGAATGAGGACATAAGGAAACAGACGGCAATGATTTTAATACCAAAACTTATTGAACAAGGGACAGTATCAATCGCGACAATTCTCAGATGTCAAGAAACCTGAAGAGTGAAAACAGTTAAAGAAGCGTATAACGGTTCTCTATTCAAGGTAGCTGCCTATGCTATGCTCAGTTCAGTAATTTTAGGAAGCTCATTAAGAACCAGATCAGTGTTGCCTACTCCGCTTACGTCCAATCGGTTGAGGAAGTCATTGTCAATGATCCTAGCAGATTCTGGTCATTTGCCCAGATCAAAAAACAGCAATCTAGAATCCCCCCAAGGATGACGCTTAACGGCAATGTCTGCGATACGCCTAAGGATATAGTGGACAGTTTTGCTACCTTCTTTTCAACAGTTTTTATCCCATCTGGTCTACTAGGGTCATCTCCTCCAACAAATAATTCTACCGATATCATTTCTTTAAAAAATATAAGTGAAGAAAACGTAATTAGGGCTTCGAAAAGATTAAAGAACAAAATGACGTCTGGATGTGATGGTATTCCAAGTTTTTTCGTTAAAGATTGCATTCATATACTAGCGAAACCGCTGGCTTCCATATTCAACCTAATTCTAAAATCAGAGACATATCCAAATATCTGGAAGACCTCTAAAATATGTCCTATTCACGAAAGTGGAGATATCTCTGATATTTCCAACTATCGCCAAATAGCAATCCTGTGCAATTTCAGCAAGTTGTTTGAGATCATCGCTTATGAAACGGTTTACTGCTCGGTCAGGGGTGCAGTCTCTATTAATCAGCATGGGTTTATGAGAGGCAGATCTACGGTCACCAACTTGGCTCTAATTACTCAGTACATTTCTGAAGTACTGGACGGTCAGGGACAACTTGATGTCATCTACATAGATATTCAGAAGGCGTTTGATCAAGTTGATCATTATGCACCTCTGGATAAGCTTAAAACAGTGGGTATGTCTGACGCAATGCTGTCGCTCATGAATTCATATTTGAGGGATAGAAGGTTATTTGTCGAATATGGTGGTCATAGTTCTAGTTACTATCGGGCCACGTCTGGGGTACCTCAAGGGTCAAATCTAGGTCCATTATTGTTTTTAATATTTATTAATGACTTGTCTTTTGAACTGAAGTGTTTCCATTTGTTTTTCGCAGATGACCTTAAAATCTGCACGTCAGTCAAGACAGTCGAGGAATGCGTCATGTTGCAAGATGACTTAGCTCTAATTTCGTCATGGTGTTTACGAAACTGTCTCAGTCTGAAAGTTATGACTTATACAAGAAAAGTGAACTATTTAATTTATGATAATTATAACATCAATGGTCAGGTTATAGACAGATGCCCCTCTTATAGAGACCTTGGAGTCATTTTTGATACCAAGCTAACGTTTACTGAGCATATACTCAATATCTCGTCGGCTGCCACTCGACTACTTGGTTTCTGTATCAAAAACTGGAAGGGTTTCTCCAATTTTGATACATTAATGACTTTATTTTTTACTTTTGTCAGGAGCAAGTTGGAGTATGCGACTCTTACATACCAAAATTCTGTCGTGATCCTTGAGGCCATTCAACGTAAAGCTTTAAAGTATTTTCACCTTAAATGCACAGGTTCTTATCCAGAAAGAGGTTGTGACGATAGTGCCCTATTAGAGTTTTTCAATTTGGATTCACTGTCAACAAGACGAAACATATTTGCTTTGTCGTTTTTGTATGGCCAAACGGGATTCTATTGTCAAGCTGGCCATACAAATGTTATGACAAAATCGCCAATTAATCTCATGTGCTGCGTCATGAACAATGTTACTGAATCGTGTGATATTTACAGTGACAGTTGTGCATCGATTGTTAACTGCTATAGATCATCCAATCTTATTTAGAATGTGTGATACTATAGATTTAAGTCCAAGAACCATGTCTCTTTAATTGTTATTTTTTCAGCATTTGCTGTAATTGGGTTTCACCTGTTGGAAATAAATAAATAAATAAATATGAAGTCGTAAACACATAAAATTCATGATTTGAACAAATCCAGTTCCAACAAGGACCGAGCACGCGGAGGCAGGAATGTCCACCGCTAGTAATTTACATTTTGCAGCCATTTATTCGGTTGCGAATCCGATGTTTTCGGTGTGTGCGTGAAAAACTGCGCCGGCATTTGTAGTTTTATCAACGAATTTCCGTCGGAAAACGAGGAAAAAACATCATGTTTCACAATTACGCGTGTTCCTGCACGATGCACGTTCTGGTTCGTATCTGCCTGTTTGGGCAATAATTTATAATTATTGTTATCTCGTCCGCGCAGCTGTTTGCTTCGGACACCGGCGACTTTTTAATTAAAAATTGTTGCACCGCATTTATCACCAGAGTGGGTTGAACAAGTGCACTCAGACGTTTCGCTGACCATTCGTCTCCATTTTCTCCGGTTTTATGGCTATTTGGGCATGTTTGTAAACTTAGCATACTAGCCATAAGCGGCCTCATATTTTCCTTATGCCTTTACTTAGATTATACTTTATTCTGTCGTTATTGTATACAGGTATTAATTTTCAACAAATTCTGTTTTTTTTACATCTCGTATTTTTAAGGGGGTTAGATGGTAGAATAGATATATTATCTAAATCTCGCCTCCTGTAAGAATACTACAAATAAAAGACGTTAATTATTATTATTACTATGATA